TACGTTCTAATGTTGAATATTCATTATTAGTTAATGATGATGACGCGAGTACTTATATTTGTGTTTTTTTTTTTTTTTATCTTTAGCAAACAAGGTCGTCGATTTATTAACCAAAAAATAGATACTATGTATATATTTATATCAACAAAAAATAAATAAATCATATATTCAATTTTAAGATTCAATCGATGCACAAAATTTCCAGATAATAAAAAATTGACGGAATGATTCTTTTGCCGATTCGATAAGTTTTTGATTTTGGTAATGATCGATTATGTATAATGTACATATCTTTGCTAAATGACAATAATGATATGAGTACTGTACAGGGAAAACTTGTAAGTATCGGACTTTACAATAAGAGACACAAGCGATACTTAGTGTTGATCAAAGATTACAGTATTATTTCACATTTAACTCATTTAACTGTGGTTATGATATTTATCATAGATGAATAAATTAAAAGGTTCTGTAGTCGTCAAATCCATTGTATTAATATCTTCATCTAATTCTTGCTAAAAAAATTTGGATGTTTTAAAACTTTTAAAACATGTTTGTAACGTGAAAAGTACGCACTTGTTTGAAAAATCGTTCGTAGCTTAGAATCTTGCCTATGAAAACGCCTTTCGCATTCTAATAAAAAAAAATTCCTCGTCAAATTTTGGCATAAATTCCGTTCTAAAACCTGCTACTAGCTCTAACCCTAACATTAAGGTTTTATTGCTCGATACGACGATCAGGCAAATTTGCCTGGAAATTTTATTATCAAATGATTGGTCGGTTTTGATATATCATGCATTAGGGCTTTTACTTGACGCCACAAAAATGATTTTGAAAGGGATACGTACATAGCATTTAACGTTAGCATTTAAATCGTTACACAATTATAAACATCTCCATGCTGCTATGAAGCTAAGCCTTAGATGTGATTAGATAAAAGAAAATGCAAAATGATAACGTCGAACTATAATAATGTCAGAAGCTTTAAGAAAGGTTTTTCAGGAGGCTAAAGAAAAAAGTATGAATTTATATTAATATTTTTTAGTTTTATTTTTTTTAAAAAAAAAAAATTTATGCATTCTTAATACCTTTAAGAAAGACCCGTATTCGTTGCCTTTGTAACCTCTGGGTATCCTGACCCCGAAGAAACTGTTGACATTCTTCTTGGTCTTGAAGAAGGCGGGGCCGACATAATTGAATTCGGTAAGAAATTTTACGTACGATTTAATATTGCCATTCAAACGTGTTTTAATGTACTAATTCGTTCGATGATTCAGGTATACCTTTTACTGACCCATTAGCTGACGGAATAGTAATTCAAGAGGCCAACAGTGTAACGATTAGATATATTTTTACTATCCGAAAAAATCATATGATTCGTCTCTTAAATTATCTGAATCGGTTCTTCTATAGGTTGCTCTTGAGCATAATATTGATGTAGATCAAAGTTTATCCTTTATCTCTCAGGCTCGTGCTCGTGGTCTTAAAGCACCGGTGCTCTTTATGGGCTATTATAATCCAATGTTAATTTATGGTGAAGAAAAGCTTGTAGAAGAATGCAAAAAGATTGGAGTCAATGGTTTTATTGTAGTCGATTTACCACCGGAAGAATCTAATAATTTGCAAGAACTTTGCACTCGAAATGGGTATTGTCTATTTTCTCTTTATATTCTTATTTTTTTCATACATTATGATGATTTTTTACAATTTTACCTTTTTTTACATATATAGTCTAAGCTATGTGCCTCTTATTGCCCCTTCTACCACAGAGAAGCGCATCCAAAAACTTTCACGTACTTCTGATTCTTTCATTTATGTCGTATCAAGACTGGGAACAACCGGCTTTCGCGATGAAGTCAACAAAGAGTTACCTGATCTTATCGCCAGGATTCGCAAATACACTGATACTCCCCTTGCGGTTGGTTTTGGTGTTTCCACTAGAGAACATTTTCAAATCGTCGCGTCACATGCAGAAGGTGTGGTCATTGGTTCTAAAATCGTTAATGTCTTAAAAACGGCTGGTATATACATTTAACTATCTTAATCTTGTATAAGTTGGTTAAAATCGATAAATAATATCATCGATTAAACTTTCATTTACATCTAGAAAAGGGAAAACGTGCTGAAAGGATAAAAGCATATGCTTCGGAAGTCTGTGGCTTATCTTCTGGGCATAGAGACGAGGGTATGAGGTATATTTGATACATTCTACTATATATATGGGCTGCTGCTAATGTTTTTTTTTTTATAGTCGATAATACGAGTGCAAAAGTGGATCAAAATATTCGAAACGATTGTGTAAACATCGACGAGGTGACTTCCAATGTAAATATATGTACATTATTTTTTTTTTAATGGATTTTAAAGAGATTTTAACTTGCGTAATAATTTTTTAGGAAATTATCCTTTCTTCACGATTTGGTGAATTTGGAGGTCTATACGTGCCAGAAGCTTTGTTTGACTGTATAATGGAACTTGAAAAAGTATTGTTATATTTATAAAAACAGAAAAGTTTGTATTTGCAAGTGACAATAATTTTATTAATATTTAGGAATTTGTAAAAGCCAAAGATGATCCCAATTTTTGGAAAGAATATCAATCTTACTACGACTATATGGGTAGAGAGTCAAAACTACATTATGCTGATAGGTTAACTAATTATATTGGTGGTGCAAGGATTTGGCTAAAGAGGGAGGACCTAAATCACACGGGTTCACATAAGATCAATAACGCTATTGGGCAAGTTCTTCTTGCTAAACGTATTGGAAAAACTAGAATTATCGCAGAAACAGGAGCTGGTCAACATGGCGTAGCGACAGCAACTGCTTGCGCTAAGTTTGGATTAGAATGTATTGTATATATGGGTAGCGAAGATGTTGAAAGGCAAAAACTAAATGTGTTCAGGATGAAATTGTTAGGAGCATCTGTTGTACCTGTGAACTCTGGTTGTTTTTTTTTTTTATAATTTATACATAAATGATTAGAATGAATTATATTTAATAATAACCTTTAAAATATTATTCATAGGCAGTAATACATTAAAGGATGCTATTAATGAGGCTATGCGTGATTGGGTAACTAATGTTCGAAATACACATTACGTTGTTGGGTCTGCAATAGGACCACATCCGTTTCCAACTATTGTACGCGAGTTCCAATCAGTGATTGGTAAAGAGGCTCGAGAGCAAATGTTAAAGCAAGCCGGTAAATTACCTGATTTAATTGTTGCTTGTGTCGGTGGTGGAAGTAATTCTATCGGAATATTTGCACCATTTATTAATGATAAGGATGTCAAGATGGTTGGGGTTGAAGCTGGTGGTGATGGTAATATTTTTTAACTTTCAGTATACACGAAAAAAAATGTTCAAGTATGTTATTATTTATTATTTACTCATTATTTACTTATTATTTATTTATTATTTATAGGAATTGATACAGGGCGTCATTCAGCAACCTTGACTATTGGTACACCAGGTGTGTTACATGGAACTCGTACTTACTTATTACAAAATGACAAAGGACAAATCAACCATACACATAGTATCAGCGCCGGGTTAGATTATCCTGGTGTCGGTCCTGAACATTCTTGGTTAAAGGAAACTCGTCGTGTTGAATACGTTGCTGTCACTGACAAAGAAGCTTTATATGGGTTTAAAAGGATGTCTGAGCTAGAGGGTATTATTCCGGGTAAATAATGACTAAATAATATAGAACTCTCTTCATGCATAACACTTTTTATTTATATATTCCTTTAATGTATTTAAACAGCACTTGAAACAAGTCATGCCATCTATCAAACCATAAAACTTGCATCCAAAATGCGCAAAGATCAGGATATTCTTTTATGTGTCAGTGGTCGTGGCGATAAAGACGTTTCAACTGTTGAAAAAGAATTGCCAAATTATGATCTAAAATCTGTTGAAGAAGCATTGGGCATTGCCAAAGGATGATCTAAATTAAAAAATTTGATTGGTTTCTTTTTGTGTTTGTTTATCAGATGAATGGCACTGCATAAATTTGTGAAAATCTGCTTTTCATGCTTTTTTTTATTTGTTTCATTCGAACACAAGATTGTATTTTGTTTATATAATGGGTTTTGTTTGCCTAGGCCATACAAAGTTAACAGTTTCTCATAACCGGTTAACTTTTTGTAAATCTTGAAAAAACAAATTTTTGTTATAATAAACAGATTTTTTTTTTTACAAAAGTAATTAACTTTTAAAATAAATTTTGGGTTGTGGTCACCAGGCTTAAGCTATGAGAAACAATTAATTAATTTGTATAATATAATCTTACAAAGTCTTAATATGGGATGATGACCGTACTAAAGGTGGATCATTTGAAAAAGTAGGAAGACTTCTTGCAATGGTTAGAAGTATTCACTGTTCATTCATTGTCACCGTATCACTAACCAATTGTTGAGAATGGCTCAGATCATGTGATAATTAAAATAGCACCGATTTAAAGATTTGTTTCTTATACATATATATATTTTAGTTTGGGCTTTCTAAAACAGACCGTAGATGACGAAAGTAGGCAGACGTATTTTTCAAGATCTGACAATTTAAGTTCGAATGGGGATACCGTTGGCCACTGCTTACAGTACCTGGGAGCTTATTCAAGAACTCCATTTTTACAATTTAGTGATCGTGGGGTCCGCTAAAGCCTCACACCCACCTGACTTTTTATATGTAGATCATCCAATAAAATCATGAAAACGCAAAAATATGAAAAACGGCAGTCTAAACCTGTCTTGGTGTATTAATAAAAAACGTCGGGAAGGCAATATTACCTATATGCCTACCTTTACTCTAAACTAACCTAACCCTAATTATAATTAAAACTTCGAAATCACGTGGGTACAAGGCTTTAGCGATCCCCTATATTTGGGAGATATATCGTAATAAAAATAGTAGATCAACATATTTATATCCCGGATCTTATTCAAGAAAATAGACCGGCAGGGATAATGAATCATACCGGATCTTAATAACGTGGTAATTATTTTAGAGGATATTGTAAGCGGTCAACGGTATATGCTAGTACAGTTTCCAATTAAGATTGAAGGTCTGATAAGATTATCAACACAGAGATTAAATCAGGTTGTCCTATTACAATTAACATCAAAGATAGCCTTGATCGACATTACAAATTTGTCTAATTGTAATAATGACTCTCTTAATAAATATAGAAATTAATGCAATGCCAATAATTGGTTTAAAGACATTCATTTAAATCTTTCACATGTATAATTCGCTCAATGCCTCACCTTATACAGTCAGTGTAATCCATAAACTCCTATTTCATTATAATGTTTATAATATACCAATGAAAATATAAATTTGGATTTCGCTCTTTATCATAATACATAACTGTATAGCATAATACGATCTCAAAAATATATTCTCTGTATAAAACATTTAATTGCATTTGTTACCTCATCTCACAAATCCTACCAATATCAAACTTCATCGGAAAACATCAGTATTTCTAAAACTAGAATTATCTTTCAATGCATCATTATGCGTTTTATACTCCATAATTGTCTCGCCTGGCAAATTCAAGACACGTTTCATTGTGTCCCTAACAGATCATTATAATTAATTTGAGATTATTGTGAAATTTTTAAAATCTTATTAAAAGTTTAAAAAAACTACCGTATTTTTAAGTTAATTCTTCCTTCATGTGCGGACTGATTCCACAGGGACAGGATGTCCTCCGAACTGCGGATAGACAGCACCGCTCCACAAATCTCCGTGCCCACATCAAATTGATCACCAATGACTGCCATCACCTTTCGCGAGAAATTAAATCATCATTAATTAGGGCATTTTTTGTGGTTTTTTTTTATTTGATATATTATATACTTTTTTTCGAAAAAAACAACCAACTCACCAAACTCTCCCAGTATCGACTAGCAAGTCCTTTCTTTAACCTCACGATCCACTTACCTCCATTAATATTAGTGTCGTCCTTTTTTTTTTAAAGTATATGTAGTGAAAATATTTAATTTGATTTTTTTATGTATATTTAATTTGAAATGTCGCTTTAAAAAAAAGGATATAATATTTACAAACCTCCCATACTGGTCTAACACCTTGTTTAAAAAGATGGTAGTCACTAATATTAGGTAATTCGTGAGGTCTTCGAAGATGACTATAAACAGCCCAAAAATCTTCTATCTAAATTCGAGCATATGGAACATTGTTATTTAATGTGAAAATGATTAATAAAATTGTTGAATATAAATATTTACCGAAGAAAAGGCTGCGATTTTTTTCATTGAACTTTCGTAATTTAATATCTTACTACCAGGGCTTCGGTGCATGAACCAAAACACCCACGTAAAATGCAATGGATGGATTTCACTTGTGGGGCTTGGTGTGAATTGCTGACGCGTCAATCCAATTACCAAACCATTACTACTATTCCCATTTTCTTTCTCTTTATGATCTTTATCCTCACCTCCACCACTTGTGACGCTCAAACGGTGCTTAGCAAGATATCCGCTTCCGCTACTACTATTCATTAGTCCTGAACCCATTCCAAGGGGCGTCGTCGGTGTTAGAAGAACAGCAGACGCACTAGTAACTCCATTTGGCGAATTTGTACGTTGAAGTTGAATAAGTTTTGTCGACGATGTAGAAGTTGTTGGAGTCGTCGCCGTTGCAATCGTAGTCGTTGTTGTGGTATTACTATGGTCGGTGTTGACGGTTAAACGGTTACTGTGATAAATGAATAATCAATATTGTAAATACAACTGAATAAGGATTTACCCAGTAATTCGTCAACTAGTTCGTCTGTTCTTTGCTTTTTTTATTTTTTGCTCTTTTTTTTTCTTTTCTTTGATCAAATTTAATTTTAAAGCTGTGAAATAATAATAAAACTGTCCTAAATTCTACCTTCTACTTTTCCAGACAGATTCCATTTCTTCTGACTAAGTTGTAAAAATTCCTGATGTTCAGATGTTTTATTTAAAGTTGACCAAATCTGAAAAACTGAATAAATTATGGGTATTTAAAGGTTGTTTAAAAGAAAAAAAAAGATTTTCGAAAATCAAATATAGACGAATTCCTCTCACTACATGATGAGGACCTTGTCCTCCCCACATCCAAATACTACGTAGATGGTGGCGATTATTGGTTGGATGTTGTTGATCAAACTTCGCGTCATGATCAATTACACTAACTTCCTGTAATGCGTACAAAAAAAAAAATACCAGCTTTACAATTTATAATTGAGATTTTTGTGCATGTACATATGTAAACAAAATTTATTACGTATTTAAATTATAACGATAACATTGAAATTACAGTATGTACGTATATATGTGCCTAAACAGAATATATAACTTATATTAAAAAAAAGGATATTACTAACTTGCCCCTGGTTAACATAATCTTATTATAACTCAAAAACGGCTTAAATAATTAGGGTGTCAACAATTAGTTTAACGTTAATAACATAGTCGAAGTCATATAATGAAGATCAAATAATAAGGTTTTTTTGCCGGCTATCCTTCTTAATACGTAGTACATATAAAATTAAACTGCTAATAACTTCTAAACTACTAAATTTATACATTTAAAATTATATTTATTGAATTTCTCTTCATGCATTCTTTAAAGTAAGTCATTTTACGTATGAGTTAAAACGAAACCGATAGTTAAACCCTAATTTATTTTAAGAAAATAACTAATTTTAAAGAATATATTAAAGGAATTCAATACGTTAATATAATTTTATATGCATAGCGATAGATTTATGGGGTGTTTATCATCGGTCTAATTGCAGATAATATAATATAGTGCTTAACGCTAAGATTTTTTTTTATACGTACACACTTCATATTAAATGATTATTGAATTTTTTATTACACTTTTAATTTCTTTTATAATATTCAATATTTTTTAATTCTATAAAAACAAGATGTCTAATGAAAAGTATCTAATATTGTAATCCAAAAGGGTCACTTGGGTCAGTTTAGGGTCGAATCTTAACTCAATCCGGGTAATATCAGATTATTTAGAAATTTGCATTTTATATAATACAGTCGCACCTTTCTAAGTGCACAGCCTGGTCCCAAGCTTGGGACTTAAATACCTTCTATATTCTGCACGTACACAAGTTTTTAGAGTCCAAGCATATATATATGCATCTCTCTAAATGCATGCATGTAACTAATTTCAAAGCTGGTCAATAATAATATCAGATTTTTTACAACACATGTTAGCTTATTTTCGGATATAATCGATTTTTGGTTAATTTCAAATAGTTGTTACATAGTAAAGTCTAAATTTTACTATGTAATCCAAATATTATCTCTTAAGTAAAACCGTTTGAAAGATCAAACTTTACATATACAGTCGACCCCCGTTAGTATCAACCTCGTTAATATCAACCTAAGCCACAAATCAAATTTTTATAAATTTTTATATATCAAAATTCCCTCATATATATCAACTTTAATATAATTTCTCGTTAATATCACTATCAACATAATTTAAAACCAATCCAAATGGGTTGATATAAACGAGGGTAGACTGTATTAAAATTTTTATCAAAATCAAAGTACTTTTTATTATTTGACTTTCTTTTTTTTTTTTTATTACTAAGGTCATACTTTTTAGTGGTAGTTTATTAGTATTTTTGAGATTAGCGTTACAATATTTTTTTACAGACAAAAGTACAACTAATTGCTTGTAGTTTGCCTTAAGGTTCTATACTAGGTGTTATATTTATAATCTACTAGAAGATTATCTATTTAAATCTCTGATTATCTGCTTTTACCAGATCTTAACCTGTCACTATCTTTTTATATATACTTATGTATACTGTCTAAGCAGTATATACTTTTCTTTTTTAAATTTTATACAGATTATTATTTATTTTAAAACATATTATCTAATAGTAGACTTAGAAGACTTATTTATTAACTAACCTATTAATTTTATAATCTTATTAACAAAGTTATGTTCTTGCAGATCATTCAAACCTTAGTATTAACTTTATAGTATATTTTTAGTATTTAGTTTACTTTTGTTTTGTTTTTAAACTTTCAATTTAGATAGTTTAAAAAGATTATAATCTGTTTCTAGTATACTAAATCTAATTTAATATTCTTTTTTTTTGGTTTAATTCTAACAATCTGGTAAATAATATTTTTATCTAAAAATTCTTATTTGTTTAATTTTTTTACATTAGTATTTATTTTAAGTCTAGTTTTTATAGTAATATTATTAAAATTTTATATTATTTCTCTACTTAGATTTTTTTAAATAGGTTTTTATTTGGTTTTTTTTTAAGTTAAACTAGTCTTTCTAAGATTAGAATTTTTTATTTAGTATGTAGAACATAGAAGCTTACAGCTTAATTACTTCAAAAAAGCTACCTTATATTAAAGAGTATATTTAGCTATATATATACTTTTAGTATCTAATTTAAGTAATCCACTTATATATAGGTTCTATACTAGTTACTATACTTGCAATTTAACTACAGATATTGCTTATTTAAACTCTCTGTACTGCAATCTACCTGTATTACTAGATTATTTTTAATACTAATGTTAGTTGAAAAGATCTAAATACTTATTTATATCCTTAGAACATTTAAATTATTTTATGTAATTTATTTTTAAGACATCATTATTAGAGGTTTTTATATTTTAATTTATAGCTAACTTGTTTACAACTTTTGTAAAATTCATACAACCCCAGTATCTTTCTTTTACAGTTTTACTAATACTTTGTCTATATTTGCAAGTTCTTTTATATTACCAATTCAGTTAATTTTGTATAATATAACTTTATGATTAGATTAACTAATGCATAGCAATAATATATAGACATATTACATTTAAATAAAAAGAATATAAATACTAAATCAGCATAGATTGAAAGTATAATAATAAAATTCGAACAATTAGTAATTGAAAATGTAATTGAAATAAAATATACAAGATTAGTTTAATTAAATAAGTTATCAGAAATTATACAATTTATTTAAGAGTTAATATAATTTTTTATAAGAATTATCAAATAAACTTCAATATATATTAGTTCTTATAAAAGCAGAATCAAATAAAAAAATTTTTTTTTAACTTAAACTAAATTTGCTTCTGTTTAAAAAAAAAAATAAATAAATAAAGAGAACTTAGTTATAAATACTTATTTAAACTAAGTAATTTATCATTATATAAGAAGTATAGTTATAAAAAAAAGTTTATAAATTTTATTAATTCTTTTTAATATTAATCAAAAAGATGTTTGTAAGTTTATCACTAGCATAAGGATATCAATATAACAAGTCTAAAAGAAAGACCCAGTTTTCATAAATTATAGAACTATATAAATTTGAATTAAATTTGATTATTACCTTTTTTAATTAATTTTTTTAAGAAAAATGATTTAACAAAAAAAAAAATTTCTAATAGTGTTTTAGTAATTTTTAAATTTTTTTTTTTTGATATTAAGATAATAATTTCTAAATTTTAATAAATAAAGCATTTATATTCTTTTAAGTAAGAAAAAATGCTTTTATATAATATTTTTAGTAATGTTAAAAAGAACAACCTTAACAAACATTCAAAATTTTAAATTTTATGTCTATACTTGTAATAACAAAAAGAACTGTTCAGAATATGTAAAGTGGATTAAAAACAAGTAGTAAGTTAAAATTAATAAATCTACAATTACTTGAATTTTACAAACTAAAGATCATTGACTTTTAAATGAAATCACAAATCCAAACACTAAGCATCATAGGACTATTACTATATTAAAGCTTGAGCTAGCACTCAAGAAATTTGTTCTAATCTATTAAAATCATACTATTTTAAAGAATGCTATGATAATTGAAAAAGCAAAATTGCTAACAAATAAACTTGAAGTCTCTAAAGGCATATTACATTTTCTTCTAAGTAGCTTTAAAAAATTAAAGAATGAAATAGAATAAAGCTTTATGAAGAAGCAAAATCTGGCAATAAAAATGTTATTACTAAATTATTATCATTATTGCATAATAAATATGCTAAATATTCTCTTGACTAAATCTATAATATAAATAAAACTGAACTTTTTTACCAATAGTTTTTTTTATAATATTTTCTTTTAATAATTTTTTTTTGAGAATTTCTATTTGTGCATTATATATAAATATACAAATATTGTTATTTCTTAAAATTTTTATTAATAAAACTATTTTTTAAGATCTAAAAAATTATTTCTTACAAAATTTTAGTATTGTCATTATCTAAAAAAGGATCATTGATATTTCATTTAAGGGTAGGGGTGACATAGATCATTTGTCATATGATTTTTTTAGCAAATAAAATTTTATATATAAAAAAAAAATATATTACTAATAAAACTTTTCAGTATTATATTTAATTGTTACCAAAATTTAATAGTATATAAATCTATATCTTCTAATTATTTTGATAAAATTTTATAATTTATTTTATTTAAAAAAAAATACTTTATATATTACTAAGTTTGCCTGGGTCAGCTTATGAGTTTCCTAGGTCACACAAAATTTATATAGGAAATTCATGTAATGTAACCAATATTTTATATGTAAATCATATGATATCATATGATTTGCTATAAATTATTAGTAAAAATGATCTATGTCACCCCTACCCTTAAAACACCTAAATCTAGTTCTATTATTACATACTTTTGTGACAAGTTCTACACTCATTTTATTTCAACTACCAACCAAACTTATAAACAACATGAAGTTATTCCTATTAATAAAAAATCTAAAGACAAGAAATCTCTAGCAAACAATATTGCAAACTTTACTAAATTTATCTTATTAACACCTACAGTATTACCTTCACCTACTACACACAATCATCAATGTGGTAAACGCAACTTGCCTATTGCCTGCAAAGAAATGAATAACCAACATTATCTAGTAGCA